TTCTTTCTCGCTTCTTCGAGTTCGTATCTTCTAATCTCCTTTTCACGAGCTGCCTTCGAAGCGGCCTTCCAAAGAAAGGATGGAACATCCGGTGGTTTGGAAGTGCCTTTGTATTTCCTAGTTTTATATCCCCCCCGCGCTGTAGAATGATGACCCCTCTTTTGGGATTGAGGTCACCTCACCTGTAACAGGATCAACAACCTCAACCATGTCTTCAGGTGGAACGCCTTCGAAAGGATCCTTTGTTGGATCTTTGGGCTTACCGGATGAGGATGATGAGGAACCTCCTTTGCCCTCTTCATCTTCACCGGGATCATAAATCCCACTTTCAAATGCATCCTTCTTTGAATGATCAACCATTCCATCAGTCGAAGGGACCTTGAGTGCTTTGCCACTTTCCATCGGACCTTTGTCAATCAACTCCTTCACCGGTTTAGCATCCTCGTCTTCAGGCTTTGGAGGATCGTCCGATATCATGTAGCATGGAATGCGACCCTCACGGATAGCATTATACCTGTCCTTCAATGGAAACACAAAATCTCCGTCAGGCAATGCGAGTTTGTTCGTTCCAACCCATGGCACACTACTATCAAAGTTATTGTCCATCACCTCTTTAAGAGGGAGAACAAGAAACTCTTTTCTCCATGAGAATTCAGGGTGAATCTTGTATCCCAAAAACACTCCTGGTAGTGAGGTAGGATCGAATTTCAATTTTTTCTTTGGTTTTGGTTTTTGGTCCGGTCCAATAGTCAATCCTCACTCCAAAAGGAATCATTGGTCCCTTGAACTTCTCATCGAACCTGAGTTGCCATGGCGTTTGAGCCTCTTGATCACCGAGTATGTTGTGCGCCATGCAACAATGTCTGGCGGCATGCGTCCAGTATGTATGGTGCAAACCCGCTTGTTCAAGGTTGATACGAGTTCCATCAAGAACGGATCGAATACTCCTCTCTGCTTGAGCATTACTCTTGGAGATATACGGAACACTTGTAACGTGTCTCCATTCCAATTCTGATGCTGCCTTGACAAGCTCTTCTGCATTGTCTGAATAGAACACACCAATGTCATCCCGTCCCCGGGTGAAGTGCTTCAATGCAAGAACACAATCTCTAGTCGTTTTCCTAGCCGACGGATATACATATCTAAAGTCCGTAGCTATGTCCTTAACGACTAGAGCGTTTCTTGAACCATCGATAGCCTCTTCTTCGTCATCCCGAAGAATAAGATGATCAGCAGTGATGTGATCACCAAACTTGTCAGCATCAACAGTTTCAGATCCTCCCTTCTTGTACGATGGTGGCTTAGTCATCTTAGCCCTTGAACATGTCGTACAAAAAGGGTTCTTGGGAACATGTGTCAATAAATGTGCAAGCGACTTTGCTTCCCGCCTCAAGGCTTGTTCACCACGATCACGCTTTTCCGCTGGTGGATCGGGGACTAACCTGGCATCGACTGCTTCGGGTTCTGTTTCCGCAGACTCATGGGGTGCTTCCTCTACGCTAGGCGAAGTAGGGATCGGAATGTACGAAGACTTGCCGTTCCCGGAAGCATGTTCTTCATACTTGTGCCCGATAGCAGTCATAGCCATACCACTGGTTGATGGTAAATAAGGAACATAGTCCTTCACTTGAAGCTTGATCCTCTGCCCATTTGGCTTTTTGAAGTATGGTGTGTCATTTGACGGCCAAATGAACGACCAATCATGATCAATACATAATTGTCCCACGGATATCACTGCCGGACTATCATCAAGTACATATGGTTTTGCAGTGATTCCCAACAAGGGAATATCAAGATTAGCCTGATCATTAGCCTGGAACACTCCGTTAGCTGTAAGAAGACTAACCGGTTTCGAGGATTCGAACACTTCGTTGCGATTGACCATTTCCCTAGACACCAAATCATTCGCACTGCCAGTATCTGCAATCCATGCGATCTCGGTCGCAGGCATTGTGACCCGTTGATTCTTAAAACAATGCTTGCATCCCATTTCCGAATCGCAAAGATAGCAACATCGTGCCTCGATGCCATTCAACTCGTTTGAAGCAGCTCTACTCAAACGGTCTGCTGCAATGCATGCATCTTCAGATGCCATTTCCAAAACTTCAGCGTTTCCTTTGTGGCCTATTGGGAAACTGACATGCTTTCTTTGTTTTCGCGCAACAACTGGAAACATTAAAGAATTGCAATGAACCACGTGTTTAAAAACTTCTGGTTTGTCAGCAAAAGAAAGACGTTTCACTTTTCCCCGTCCTGACGAAGATGATGGGGAAGAACTGGTGGCAGGTGTAGCAACCATGGCCACGCTTTCCAACGGGCATCTGATAGTAGCAGACTGTGATGATGAGACCGCAGTAGCTAAGACCAGAGTGCGCAGCAGGCAAACAGCGGCTGGGTTAGAAGGAGCACTTTTCCCACCTTTGGATTTCTGACTACCGCCAGAACCGTTGGAGCCACGAGAAGTACTTCGTTTCTTCTTCTCTCTTTTCTCCTTCTTCTTCTTCTTTCGTTTCTTGCGGTCGTCACTTGGTGCGGGTGTAGAAGAACGATCGGGATGTTTGAAAGCGCAATTCTTTCCCCGGTGACAGTCACCAGATTTCCAAAACTTGCAAACTTCCGATCTTGATCCCGGAGTCAACGACCTTCCACGTGAAGAAGAAGATCTACCCTTTCCACCACCTTTGGGCCTCCCTTTGCTGGATTCACGGGGTTTCTCATGTTTGAATGGGCAGTCGCGCCTACTGCACTTTCCTTTGTTCTGAAACTCATAGCAAACACCTTTCGGCTTTTTGTCACTTGGGTCAATGACAGGAGCTGCAGGGTCTTTACCTCCAAGACTACGCTTCGTGGCATCCCTCATCTTTTCTAGACGTTTCCTTTCAAGGTATGCCTTGGCTGACTTGATCAAAAAATCATAAGTCTTTTCGGCACTCCCTTCCGAGGCGCGTTCGTAGATGGCAAGATCATGAGCTAAAGGCTTAAAGTTCTTCACAGCAAGATGAAAATATGCCTCAAGCCATTTCTTGTCAACTTCCGTTCGCATCCCCGCGATAACAGACTCCCATCGCGTAACAAAACCTTTCAGGTCCTCGTTCACCATCTTACCACATATAAGATCTTCAACATCGTAAATAGCACCGTGTTTGATAGAGGTAGCAAAGTACTCATGGAACAACAGTAGGATTTGTCGTCCCTTTATCGGTTCTTTTGCTTTCTCTTTGGTCTCCTTAAACGTGTTCAGTTGGCGAGCAAGGTCCCCCTCCGCACAGTTCGTGAGACTTGAGAGAAGTTTTGCATCCAGCGTGATGAAACCCTCAGAGTCATCCAGGTCCTTAGTGGTCACGGCGTCTTCATAAACCTTACCTAGCCATAACCTGGCCTTGTCCGGCTTAGCGGACGCCGCTGACACATTGTCCCGAACTTTAATTCGCCAATCTCTATACCTTTCAGGTGTGGGAAACTTGGGAATGAGGATCTTTTCGGCCTCTTTGGCCCTCTGTTCACGATCCTCTTTCTTCATCTTCTTCAAATGCTTCCTAACCTTACGGGCAAAGGATGAATCCTCAGAAGATGAGCTCGATGATGAAGGTGACTCGGACGGTGAAGGTGACCCCTTTTTGTTTTTCTTTTTGTTCTTTTTGCGGGGTGATCTGCCACGCTTCTCTTCCTTGTCATCTTTCTTCTTCTTCTTTTTGTCTTTCTTGCTCTTCTTCTTGTCATCGGATGTAGACGAACTTGATGAACTGGGATGATCTGGAGGACCACCTCCAGCTACCTTCGGGGCATTGACCGCTCCACTCGCAAGAGCATCACGGTAGGGTTCGCCGGAACTATCAGTCATTGATTTCTGCATTGGTCGATATGGTTGACCAAGAGGTAGCTCGTTTGAACCCATTGGGCCTGGAAGAGTTGTCCTGAGGTTAGCCGGTGTTCCAGCAGGCTCATAGTTCCCTCGAGCGGATGTTTCCATTTTCTCTCGAAGTTCTCTAATGAGCTCTGTTTGTGTTCTCAACTCTTCCCTCAGCTGTGATTCACGACTCTGCGCTTGTTGTTGTAATTCTGTCAAGTTGTGGTTGTATAGTTGAGCTTCAGTCAACGCAGCATTCTTGATGACTGCTTCATGTGCATTCATCTTAGCTTGCTCGTTTGCAGCCCAAGATGCAGCTCTTCGTTCTTGTAACTCGAGTTGCTCCTTGACATGGTCGTGTGCCTCTCGGTGAATGGCTTCCACTGTCTTTTTCACTTCTTCATCTTTCTTGGACATCAGTTCCCTGTGTCGCGCTTCTGCAAGTTGTGCGACTTCAGCGGACTTGTCCAGGTTGACGTTGATCATTCTTTGATCGTGGAAGTTCGCCGTTTGGTTAATGACTTGTCTCGAATCATTGTATGTACTCGACGGAACAAAGGCAGGGCTCGTGGGAGACAGGATAATCGCACCAGTCGATGTAGCTGGTGGCAACACGTTCCCATGTGCTTCAACCAATGCATCCTCATCATGCTCTGAGGTGAAGACTTCCGTCTGTACATATGATCCATTCTCATCGGCATCACCGACTCTTGACCTCGATCGATCCGTGCCATCTCGAATTGGTTCGAAGGGCCTGTCCGCCATGCCACCTCACGTGTGCGCAGAACGAGGGTGGGTAGGTGACACAGCTAGAATGGCGCGTACCGCTCTTTGGCGATACGGCTGATAACCTGAATTTACAGGCCAACAGCCTACAAGTACCAACATGTAGAGCGCCCTTTTCTTGAGCCAAACATAGAGGTCAATATGGTATGTACAGGTGTACAATCGTGCAAATACATAAAGCTCCAAACCCATCCAGTTTTTCTCATGTAAGAGGGAGGACTTTCGGGAGGTCCTCCATCTCTTGCCCCATAGGTTGAACAACATCCGAAAGGAAAGGAAGATAAACATGGATCTGTTCTCGGCTCGTTGCCGGGCTTGTTCGTTAATCAATCACCTCCGGCGCACCGCACTCAATCGCCCGAGCAGCTCATAGCTCCAAGGATCTGCCTGTTCGCAACGACAGCTCGACAGGCTCGAGATGGGCACGGATCAGGCACGACAGCTTGGCTGATAGGGTTGGACGACAGGTGTCAATGAAACCCGTCCGCTTTCATGCTCTGTTTCTGTCCTGCTTGCAAATCTACGGTAATTATGTTGGTTTCTTTTCGGAACTTTTCCCTGTCATGTGTCAAGCCCAGATTTGGGCCCTGAATTTTGGACTTCACAAATTGGGCTGAGCTGCTGCATGTAGGTCGCAGCCCCACGTTCATCAAACGCCCGGGCCCCGTCATGCTTCTCCGACTCCGCCACGATCCTCAGCCGGGGGGGTGGGAACCCCACTGACCACGGGCGGATTTTGGCAGGCTGGCAAGTGATCGATGTGAAGCTCTAAGCACTGAACAATTTGTCAAATTGGACTCTTATACCGAACTGTTCAGGCTTTCTGGTAATTAATTCAATGCCCGTCTTTCCCAATCCTGGCCCAAGGCGCCGTTCAAAAAGCTCTCCACCTGTACATAGCTCCATCACGAGGTAGAATCGCTTGGCGTCCTGAAAGACTTCGTAGAGCTTCACGATGTTGGGATGGTCAAGTGAGGACTGAATGTCCACCTGGGCCAGAATCAGCTAGGTGATCTTCACCATGAAACGCATAGGTATGGCAGGCTAAGGGTGAAGATGATATTATGCGGGCAGAACATCAGTCGAACATGTCTATTAGGGCACGAACCTCGACCCAACAGTTCAGAATAGCCTCGACCCAACAGTTCAGAATAGGTAGCCTATAACCTACAGGCCGAACGGGTGTCGTTTTGACTCGTGACGTGTTTTGCTGTTGTGTGCTCTACTAACATCTATTAACCCCGTCCAGCCCCTGTCCAGCGGCATCAAGTGTCAAACCTCTTCATTGGAGGTGTCATGGCCAGCAACCAAAAAGCTATCCGATGTAACAAATGGATCCACCATGTTTCATCCATGACATGTTTCATCCATGTACATATATTTCTCTCTAAGAAATATATCATATAGAGTGTTAATTACACATACCCGCTGGCATGCACATATATTAAGTATTACCAAAAACAATCTACATATACCAAACAAAATGCGATATATTATTATATATGTGCATGTATCATCACAAGCTCCCAAACACCAGCCACATCGATCTACCATCGATGTGTCTCCGGAACCGCCACGCAACAGGCCCGCCTCGACTTGAAAACGTCCATGGTCCGAGATCTTGTGCCGGTTGATCGCTTTGATGGCCCTCACAGCGCCGGTGTCCTCGGTGGTTCCAGAGAAGTGAGACGGTGCATGGTCCGAGACAGCTTAGGAAGCCCAACGAAGCTAAGAACTGGTTGTGCAGTCCAAAACCACCTGAAGAGAAGAAAACAAAACAAAACACTATGCAAATACTATATTACACAACTATACGCACAGTACAAAATCTCTTCAATGCAGGTCAGAATCTTTGTGGATGCCCTTGGTCACTTGACCGTAAGAGCCCTCGCCCAAGGGCTTCCTTAGCACACCGGACCCTTGCGACCGCGAGTTCACCGTCTGCCAAGAGAACTGGTGAGGGTCATGTTACAAAGGTTGGCCGTCCAAGAAAGCTACACCGCTCCAGTACAAAGTCGCCCCACCCTTGAATGTCATTCGTTCAAACATGAATGTGCCGAGCAGTGGTTGTTCTGATTTAGCAGGGAAGGTTGGCACATTTGCTTATGGTAGCCGTCTGTCGCAGGGTTGCTTCCCTCTCCTTTTTTTGTTTCGCCAGCACGAACCAACCAAACGGGACCTGATTCAACTAGAAATTCGGGTTGGCATGTCATTGGTCCAGATCGGTTGGTCCATGTGGGTCTCTTCCCATCAAACTGCCAGGACAGTTAGTGTTTACAACCTTTTGTTAGAGTAGGTTGAGCAACTGTCACAGAAAAAACAATGGGAAATGACATGAAATGAATATGCCGGGCATCTTTTCCATGGTGTAGACCTCATCCAGCTTCTTAGGGTTCTCCGCACAAAAAGTGTGGGAGAACGTGGTGGTGTTGGCAGAGATCAGCTTGGGCGCCATGAAGGAAAAATTGAGAAAAGAGAGCGACCTACAGCCGTGCAAGCATTGCGATGTTGATGTGATCCTCTGAAAATACGCTACTGAGTCTCTTCGCAACTCATGTTTAAGGCCTCCTCAAAGCTATCACACTTCAGTATATGTATTGGACTTTTGAGGATCTGCCAAACAATGCAATCGGTCTTTTTATTTCAACGCCACCAGAATAAATATTATTTCTGCGTACTGATGCCAGTTGACAAGTTGATCGACATGTGGAGCCTGTCCTTCTTTGCCTCTCTCAAAAGAGAGCCAGGAGAGGCTTGAGCGGAAAAAGCATGAAACAGCAACAAACGCAAACCAAAGCCGGGGTACAATCGCAAAAAAGTTGGTATCTGGACCGGGCCCGAGTTCCATATGACGTGGTAATACTTCCCGTCCACAAAGAATGAAGGAGTTTGTAAGCGATTCAACTCGGTCGTCCTGCCAAGGACGCACAGTCTTTAGAAGCTTGTCTGTACGGTGAGATGGCTACTACACGTTGGGCACTTTGTATCCAAGAGGGGCTGCAAAGAATCTTGTCAGTCACAAGCGGGCGTCAAGTAGGAAAGGGTCTTGTGATCAACCGATTCTGCAGGGTGTATTAACGACCAACAGCTTGCAAACATCAAATAAATGTTGTTTAGTGCTTTAAGGGAAGCATTCCAACCTTACACACCTTGTGAACATAACATTTGGAGCAGTAAGAAACTGAAGCCAATTCAAACTCGAACACATTCTGTCCACCGCCCGGGCGGAATCGTTTTACATAACCAGCCTTGCACGCCTTTTGTTGGCCAGCCGAAGCAAAAGTTAGAGCACTAGGGACGACTCCGACCTTACACCACACCTCTTTGTGGGCGACCCAAGCACAGGAAGCAGGCAAAGCATGGCAAAGCCATTCCAACATATTTCAACCTTGCTCTTGCATCGCAGGCCACCCAAGGGTAACATTTAGAGCGGGAACGAGCCAGGTACCTTCCAGCCTTTCAGCCATGGAAAACCTGAGGCATGCCCCTTGCAACACACCTGCGCAAGTGAGGCAAAGTGACAGTGACGCAAGCTTTGAAATCAGCTTCAATATTAGACCTCTGGGGTCAGGTGTTGTCCGCATGCGGGCGAGTGAGTTGATGTAAGCATCTGCAAGGGAGTTGGGCGCTGGAGGCGATAGGCTCTCCTCCCCACAGCCAAGCCCGGCCGGCCAAACACGCAACAAAACCAAAAGCCAAAACAGCAGCCAAGAAACCGAGCGACCCCAAAGCAACAGGAACCTGAGCAAGAGTAACCCCTTCAGTGCCGGGAAGATACGCGGACATCAAGAAAGTTCTTGCTTGGTCTCGCTGCACCCTCCAGCTTTTTCATACCCAAGACACGCCACCCAAACACAAGGAACCCTGATAACCACAAGCCCTAAACCGCAACCCCCAAAAGAAATCCCTGAGTGACTGAATTCCAGCTCGAAGTTCAACAATTACCCGCAGGAAGACCTTACAGTTTGAGAACATCAATTGAGGAGCCATTCCAATCTCGCACACCTTTGCAGGCCGCCATTTCAACCTTACACACCTCTTGTGGAACCCTTCCTCTGCAAATTTGACGTGCGCGTGTTGCACACGATGTTACCGAACACTCTCGAGGCCCGGAGCCATTTTCATTGGCCCCTGGGAGTTTGATTCTGGAAGCGCGACGCCATTCCCCACCTACGCTGCAATCCAAATGCTGAGTTGCTCCGCAAGAATCTGACTTGGTGTTTGTCCGGCAGGACTGCTGTTGGGCAACTTGAGCACCTCCCCGACAGCTCAGGCGATCCTTTTTTAATCTCTGCCTGCGCTCCATGCTCCATGCCGCGCTGTGCCCCGCTGCAAGACTTGATGCCAAGTCCAAAACATAAAGCAGCTCAGTTCCGCGCCGTGCATCTTCACATGCGTTCCTGGCTACACCAACTGCAAAGGAATTGGTCTGGCACCGAGAATCCCGTGTCAAGACTTTTCTCATCTTTTCTCTGTTGCCAAGATCCTTGAAGGGGACTTTCGAGGTTCCCTCTTCCTGAGACAAGTTCAATTTAGGGACCTCCCTACTGCAATTTCACAAAGGGAATGCTTTTAGCACATCGAAGTTGGGAATGTAGCCAGGATTCAGCACACGGCTAAGGTCGTATGACACTACTTGCCATAGTTCTCCTTATATGTTCCAGCAATCACAAATCCTATACGGATCTACCCCTCAAGCGGAAATATCAGTCACATGACCCCAGGAACATGATGAAATACCAACACTTGCACATGACAACCGTTGGACAAACATCTCCATTCTGGACCGATTCCTATCCTGCTGCTTTCTAGCCCTTCTGCCGCGCCACGCAGCAAGTTCGCACATTGTGAGATCAGGGCTGTGGCAAAGTAGATCCAAGGCCACATGCCAGTGAGAAAGACCTGAGATACACCGAACACATCAATGGAAGTGGGCAATGGCCCATGGCCTGGCCCCGCCCCCCAAGAATTCTTGCAACAACGAAAGCAAGAGGACTTTTCAATTTTACTGTTGGGTCGGAGTCATAGTACAATTCTGCACCACCCTTTCCAAACCATCAGTCCTTCTGAGGTTTGTTGGCTGGATTTCCAATGCGTTGAGTACTTCTAAACTAAATGTTCTTGCCAGGTGCAGCCTTCTAAGGTTTCTTGGCTGACGCAGTTTGTGGCCATCCACAATCTAGAGACATGCGTTCTGCGTTTTGGAACCGCTCTGCTTGTCAACCGACGATGGATTGATGGACTGGATGGAAGGCAAAGAGAAATCCCCATTGTTGTGGTGGTCATGTGCTTCTGTAAAGGGCATCTTTGGACTTTGTACTCCTTTAATCATACTCGATTGGGTACCACCTGCATTATTCAGGAATCCTTAGTTGGGCGACTGCAACCTCTTCCGACTTGTCTGAATATTCGTCTCACTTTGTTTGTGTGTGTCTATTCTTGGCAGGTTGTGCAACTGTCCTTCCCAGTTGTAGATGCACATGGGCTGGGGGTCTTTCGGAAGAAGGTGCCTAATTACGGTAATTGGATATCGAATCGATTTCCTTCTTCTGCGCCTCAAAGTGGAAGAAAGAACACGTCGCAGAATGATAAAACATGATATAAAAAGCAATCCACCATGATTCACATGCAACACTCTTGGGCCCTTACTCAATAAACCAAAGCGGTGCATGGCAAAGGCTGACTTTTGTTTCGCCCGGATCTCTCGTCTAGTCAATAGCACTCTTCTTTGCCCCAGTCTGCTGTCCTGTTCGCCTAGATAGCGCGATGCATAGTCCAGCAGGCTGCATGGCAAAAGAAGCACTGTAGCACTGTAGGATGCTCAAAACATCTCAAAACTGTGGGCCCCAAAGGTTGGGGAACCAGCCGAGGTTACATACCTCCTTTCAATTCCTCTTGGCATATGTTAATTGCAACGAAGATAGGGGAAACCAAAGCCAATACACAAGCGGGCAAAAGCACACAATAGATTCTATAGATATCAACACCTATGACTACCAAAACGAAGGCAAGAAAACCATGTGCAACGAACCAAATAGTGGGCCACCTGTCCACAAATAGGAGAAGGCGTCCGCACCATTGAAAGCACTTCTGCACGCATCTTCCCAAAATGACTGCTAGCCATTCTGCAGCCTCCTTCTTTGCCCGTGTCTCCGGTGAATCCCCTGTGAACTCATAAACCATGCGAAGCAGCGTGAGCCAAACAGACCAATTGAGCGATACCCACCAGTCCTTCGCAGTCCACGGTTCACAATACTCCGTCGTCCATTGCCAATATTCCCAGAAGAGTAGGCCCTGCGTCTTGCGAACACATTTTTGCTCAAACTGAATACGCAACGACACGAGAACAGACAAACCAAGGTTGGCCCACTCATGTGGACGAATGCCCAGCATCATAACAGCATTGTCAACTTTTCGCAACCTAGCAAAGCACCAGCACATACTCTTCCAAATTGCCCTCTGTGCACAATCTCTGCCATACGTGATCAATCCCGGCGCACGCCGGTCAAGCCATGCCACAAGGTTGGCCACACACAATGCAAACCGAGGGAAGTTGAGGGCCGCTATGAGCAGGTGAATTAGCGAAGCAACGCCCCGGATAACAAACTGTGCAAGCCAAATGCCAAAGTGCATAAAGTCACAAAGCAGTAGGACCATCCCATCTCCGACTAGACAGGGAACGTAGAACCATGCTATGATTTCAACTGTTACTGTCAAATCCACCAATAGGGATCGCTCTTCAATCCTTTCAAAGAAAGGCCCCACAATGACCCCAAGCAAGAACATGAAAGGTTGAAAGCAGCGAGTGATGATGATTCCAAAGACGGACACGATCAAACCACCATTCCAATTCAATTTTTGTTGTACTTCTTGAAGATGGTTTGCGATGGTTACTGCAACCATGGGGGGCTTTGATTTGGAAGATGCTGGCAGCGCCAAGCCACCCCATCAGCCATAAGACTCTGCGCCTTGCCTGTGAAGAATACCCCTGACCAACTTGAAATTTGGCACGCACAGAACCGGTGATGCACAGCACATAGTACACCATCTTGAAGGTTGACATTTCGTGGGTCGACATTTCAAGCGGGACCGCGATGGGAGCAACGATGAATTTGTCGACTGACTTGAGCACTGCATGGCGGTTCGGCGACGAACACTTTGGAACAACAAACAACATTGCTAGAAAAAACAGGCAACATGCCATATTTCTGATGGGCATTGCCTCTACCGATAGCACAAATTCCAACATCGGATTGAATGAACAACATGTAAAACAATTGCCAATGAACTCCTGCAATCCCAATGTAACAACTACCAACACCCGAATATCTCAATCATTCTCAATCCATCACACACCGCCAAGTAAGCCCCTCTGTAGCAAACTTCTGTCATCGGCATAAACGCTCGCAAACCTATCCGATCTGACCTGCGATCGAGCGACAGAACGCAAGAGCATTGAACGAGATTTGGCTGGGCTCGAGTCGCTCCTGTCTCTGCCAAGGGCACTGTATAGAAGCATATTATATGGAAGCAATGGATGCAAAGCTGGTTGAACATGAGCCCTCCCTTGGTTTCAGCTCTTGACTGCAAAAACAAAAATATATATATATATATATATACCGGCAAGAGATCCCAAATAGTGTTTTGAGGTCTAGAGGTCTAAGGTCTAGAGGTGTGGAAGCAGAAGGTCTGGAGATCCAAACGTATCGTGCTCCATAGAGATCTAGTGGTCCAGTGGTCTAGAGATCCAGAGAGGTCTTGAAATCCAGCAGAGAGGTCTAGAAAGATCTAAATCTAAACGCCTAGACATCTAGAGAGATAAGGAGGCCAGAGATCTAGAGGTCTAGAGATCTCCTAGACATCCAGAGGAGACCTAGGTCTAGTAGGGTTCTAGAGGTCTTGGAGCTCTATAGGGTGGAAGCCTAGAAACCTAGAGGTCTCAAGGTCTGGAGGTCGAGATCTACAGGCCTAGAGGTCTAGCACGTCGCGGTGTGCCCCCACATTCCCAGCTTGAGCCGGCGCTGTGGGAGGAAGGCCTTGAAGTGGGGGTTCTCCTTAAGTTACGGGGGGCCGTCAAAGCATACATAGTTTAGAACTGACTGTTTAAATATGCGTATCGGGATATTGCTCCACAGGTTGTGACACTTTCTTCCAGTCTTACCACATGAATCAATAGCACAACCGAACCAAAACGTCAACGATCATCTAGATGTTTGAGGCCGTAGCAGTTTTGGCATCGTACCATGCCCATTTGGGGAAGGCTGCCTTGTGGCAATTTTTGCAGCTGGAAACAGCGATGCCTCCATATACTGCCAAAATCCATCAAAAAAACAACTCCAAAAGGAACAGAGTCCACACTTGCAGGCCTTGTGGGTCACAGTCTCACAAACTGTAAAAATCCTGACACGTTTTGGCCTACATAACTGGAGCTGACACACCGAAATGGACCAAGCCTTGAAACACAAAGAAGTCCCCGGTCCCAATGTCCACCGTTCTCCTCGTGGAGCTGGGAGATGAGCTGCCTTGATCGGTTTTTGGGACGGTCATGTCAGCTTCCACAGGATATCAACCTTCATGGGAGAGCAATACGCACCACCCGAAACCCTCAAAACACAGTAAATACAAATGTATGCAACCGTACATATGCCAAGGTCTTGAAAGCATGCAGTGCAGGAGTTCACCCATCAACAGTAGTACAGTACTGTCACAGTGATTGTGACAATTCTTGGCCCCAAAAGTTCTTGGCGTGTTTGGACATGCTTGGGAAGTTTAGTCAATCTATCCGTGCGGACTATTCAATTCCCCTCCACCACATAGGCCCTTTGATTTGAAGTTCTAGTGTCGCTGCCACTGCTGTGCGAGCTGATGGGTAGTACGTATATGTACCAAACAAAAAACCTACCAGGAATCTCTTTTCAGGATCTACTTTGGCTCTCTTCACCGGAAAAAAAGAACGGCACCGATGCCAACATGAGCTAAGTTGCACACTACGCTGCCATCGCTTTCCTTTTGAACAGGCACTGCCCGCGGCATTGAAGGTAACCAAAGACTTCCGGAACGACTGACGCCCGACATTCTGCGCGAAGATGTGGAGGGCGTGCGGCCAACATTTCGCTTTCTCACATGCGCTGATGAGCGTGTTGCAGCTGAACCTTGGGAATCTGAAAGTAGAACAAAAGAGCAAGGACGCTAGTAGGGGCTCCTGGCCCTACTACTAGTAACAAGAAGCTACTAGGAGCAACATCCAGGGCTCAGCTCACCGCTGGGCGTCCAAACCGTCTTGTGATGGATGACACACCTTTTCTAGGTGATGAGGGCTTATCAAGCCAGCTGTGGCAGCGTATGTGGTCGCCCGCAGTTGTGAAAGATGCTACAGTAATTTGAAAATTGAATTTTCATCACAAACATCTGAATGATAAAGCATGCCGCGTACGGCTTTGCCTTTATGGCACCAACCTTGCTTGTCACATTGACTGCCGAATCCCAGGGGCAAGTCGCTCGAGAGGCCACCACAATGCATGGCATCCTGCCAGGGTGGGGAAGCGAAAGAGGGTCACACTCACCAGGGTACCGGGATGGGAGATGTTCTTCGTGCGAACTTGAACCCCCCAAAAATCATCCAAACCGCTGTAAAGGTAGATGATGATGAGTGCTACATAGGGTCTGTAACCCAAAATGATATATATATATATTATATAATATTTGTATATATATATATATACATACATGTGTATATATATATATATGTGTGTGTGTGAGGTGTAATCTGTCACAGTGGCTAGGGCGCCTAGGGCCTAGGATAACAGCAAACACATGGACTGACATTCAAAAAGGGCAGTCCAGCAACTCTCCCGCTGCACGCCACTGACCCGCTTCTTCGCATGCGCTCATTGCCGCGTTGCAGGAGATCACTTGTGCTTTCACACATGGCATCCTTGGATGCACGGTTGGATAGCTGTGTCACGGGCTCAACTCAATGTTGTTGACAACACCCTCCCCTGCATGGAGGATTTTGACCATCCTGGCCCAAAATCCTGGCTCTGAATCTCTGAGAGGATGATCAAATGTTATCAATCAACAGTCAATATTGATGAGCAATCTGAAAAGTTGACAAACGTCCTGAACAACCAACCGACCGCTCTTCCATGCTTTGCCGAACAAACTTTGAGGCACCCCGAGCAGCGCGGACACAACAAGAAGATTCCTGCTCACGTCAACAATGCAGGCACAAGCATCCTGCATGTGGGCATGCAATGCATTACAACCACAGTCTGTTTCGGCCAGTTACCAAACCCACCAAAAACATCCAAAAGCTCTTTGCCACTGCAACTGCATTTCACCCGGAACCAGCCGCAGAGTCCAGCCACACCCTTTTGTCTGCCTTGATATGTTCGTGAATCAGGCCCTACAGCGAGAATTACTCACTGTACAAGTGCAAAGTAGCGGCAATTGGCATCTGTCGCGCTCAGGTTGTGTCTGCCTTTCTTTATTCCTTTTCACCCACGAGGACGACGATGGTCTTGGTGGGCATCATGAAATTACCTCGCAGGTTGAGTCGAGCTGTTACATCTTTTATAGGGGAAGACTCACATGGCCGCCAAACAGCTCCGATAAAGAACCGCCAGCAAACCATGGACTGGACAATCAGGAAACCTATGGAAATCTATGGAAATTGCTCTTATGTGCTTGTTGTTTTCGAGCTTAAAAAAGCACATGATCTTTAAGGAGCTTCAAAAACGCAAAAGGAAGGTTCCAACTTCCAAAAGATCTTCACATTCACCGTCGAGTCACTTGGGGATCGAACGCTCATCGGGTCGCTCCCCCTGTAGTGGGGCGTTTCCTTGAGCGGATGGATCCATGGAGGGATAGTAGGGTCGATAGGTGTCCTGTCGGGAGCACGGAAACGAGGAAACGATAGGCATAGGCCGTCACAGTCGAAACCCTGGAGTTCAATGGTGTTTGGATCATTCAGGGTCCCATTCTGCTTATAACTGCTTAAGGACTCTCGTCTCAAATTCCACCAACCATGCTTGGCAAGCCCGGAAGGACAAGCACAAACACTTGGGGTCGCTAAGGCAACAAACGTCTCGTTGGGTGTATTGAAATCCTTTCGGGTGGGATCTCTGTCAGACTGTCAATGCTCCAGTCTCGAAGCTCCACTCATAGATTGACAGTAAAGAAACCAATAATCACATACACTCGCTCCAATCATTGAACTCCCTCCAACCATGGAACTGAAACATCATAGGCCTCCGGCCCCAGCAGTTTTGCTCTAGGGAGCACCGGCCAGGCGCCAAAACATGCTCATTGAGGGGACATGAATGGACCGCTCGAGGACTGCCACGGGTTTCTAAATGAACCGGGCATTCGATTTGGATTCGCAACTAAAATGCATGACAAAATTCACAAAATACTTTGGCAATTCCCAGGCCGCAGGTAATTCCAGTGGCCGAACTGGGATATCTTTCATGCAAAACAATGGTGGCCTGCAACATGTTGGAAATTAATAGAAATTCCCAACAAGTCCTTTAAAACATGCTGATGTGCACTATTTTGGCTCAGTGTGGGTCAAGCCTTCCTTTTTCTTCCAATCTCCCAAGTCTAACTTCTTCTAGCTGCCACCCTCACCAGCCCTCTCCCGTCCTGCGCCGGAGCAGCGGAGCCGGTGGCCATGGCAGCAGCCGCCTCCTTTTCTTTGTTCACCTGAAGCAGCAGAGGTTCCGAGGGTTTTGAAGGCTCGAACGCCCCAATCGACAAGGCTTAGGCTTCCACGAAAGCATTACTGTAGGGCAAATCCACACTGATCACCCGGTGACAAACTTCTGCTTTATTAGAGTATTGGGATGGGATGGGGTATGTTCAACTGCACCACCCCTAGACTCTTAGACTCAATTCAATGAGAGGAAGGAGCCCGAGATGCTGAAACTCTCAAGAATAGACTTGGAAGGAAGGGTGATCTGCTGAAACAACTTCACAGGAGCTGTGCCATCATACTTGATTATGATTATGATTGCATCCCTCTGCTATCCTTTGCACTTATACATCCTTTGATTATATAATATATACTATAAATCAAAAAGCTGCAAAGCCATCAAGACCGGCGTTGGCGATGTTCCCACCTGAGGTCTGCCCCAGGTCACGTGGATTGACTTGCCGTTGATCTTCAAGATCTTGTGGGTGTTCCTTAGACGTGCCAAAAGGATATAGATATAATGAAATGACTAAGACTAAGACTAAGAAATCTCCACAGGCTTCTTTTGGTGTCCCAATATAGCGTCCGAAAAAGTGGTCAACAGCAGCAGTAGCCACATCAATGAGGAAGAACTAGTGGTCAAAAAACTAAAACATTGAAATTAACATCAGCAAATGATAGCAAAGTGCAAGTATATAATTATAGAACAACACTTAAGAAAACACACATCGAACAACAGCCGATGCAACAAAACAAAAGACAAAAACACAAACGCCAGGCACCTAAAAATTGCGACAAAATAGATCAATGTCCAAGATTCTTGGCCGCCTGCTCGGCCACCTCTCGCTTCACAAAGGTCACAAAGGCGCAGCTCTGCTTCGGGGCCATTCGGATGCTACGGATCTCCCCAAAAACGTAGAACTGGTTCCGGATCTCCTGACAGCTTGGACTCTTCTTCTCAGCCAGTAGTGCATGGTGCTGCGTGTGTGCGCTTTACGATGTGCAGCATATGTCAGCACAGGCCACTTTTGGAGTGACTGTTGCTGCCCTGGAGCGCAAACACTAAATTGTGATTATAACTTAAACAAAAACCCGCCGGGTGTGGAATCGCACGTGTAGTCGTGCAAATTGTGATTCAAAAGTGCAAGCCCTCCCAGTACTTTTGCTTGTTCGATGATGTTTTTGGGGGTCCCGGATCCTTTCATTTTTAAAGCCGAATCTGCCGAAACCCAAGCGCCAGCGCAAAATCCGTCGCCGTTTTTGTCCCAGGCTGTCCTCAACTTTCATGCGTCCTGTCTCAAGTAGACTTGCGCAGTTTTTTTGCACAAGTTAGTACACGTGGTGTTTTCCCAACGCCACTGCCATCCGCGAATCACACGACTAATCGATGACAATGTTATGAAACCGATGACAATGCTATGAAACCGAAGATTACTTGTCGTGAAATCGATGACAATGTTCTCAGCATGACATCCACATCCTCATTCCATCACAACCCCCCCCACCCCCGCACCCCATTTTAATCACATGACTTATCAATGACAATGTTTTGAAACCGATGACAATGATATGAAGCCGAAGATTACATGTCGTGAAATCGGTGACAATGTTTTCAGCATGACATCCACATCCTCATTCCATCACCCCC